GGTTACGTAATACTGATCTGTTACAGGCTCGCCTGTTAGGTATTCTGTCTGTTGGCTGCAAGGTCTAACCGAAGATCAATCCACCAACAAAAGATTTTCTTTTAGTATCATAATTTATTTCGACAGTTAAATATATATAATCTTAAATGCAATACAATAATTAGGGACTTTGGTAAAAAAAGAGAAGTATTTTATTCTATCCCGTTACAGCTGAACCTGCCGAGCCCAATAGTTATAAACCAAAATTTTTTCAGAGACCTATTCAAATATACTTAGGTACTCAAAACTTTATCAAAATGGATCCAACCATTCACGAGTAGTTCTTTCACAAACAATCGTACAGAATAGTTTTGTTTAAGTATAAAGAGTTCAACGAACGTTGAGCTTCTTGATTTATTGTGTTTTAATCAAATTGATTAGCTTGACCATATTATGTTTAATTAAATACATAGCCAGCTAATATTTAATTAAGTCTAAGCAGGAACATTTTTATTGAATATACTATTGAGTATATACACAGAATCTGCTAACAGTAAGTCTGGCCCATGTTTGGATCACCAAAAACCGCCATCCAAGGTAATAATAGATTAAAAAAATATACATTCTTCTCACAAAAGTAACAAGGTAGCCAAAACAAACACACTTCCCTCGCAAAACAGAAAAGGCGCTTCAATGTTTCACATACCTCCGATTGTCAATGTTTGGTTTCAAGTTCACGGGCTACCGTCAAATGTTAGCTAGCTGGAACCGACGTCTTAAAATAAACTATAAAAATAACGAACTTTACATAAATGTTGACAAACGTTATTTGTTTGAAGTGAGTCAGAATCTTGTTAAGTAAGCAGAATTGAAACCTCAACCTCTAAAAAGAAAAGAAAAAATAAAATAGGTCTCTCACAAACAAACAGTAAAAGTTTGCAAGATATTTATAATATAATGAATTTACTACTTACAAGAAAATTCAAAACTTATTTACTGAGAAATCTGTAATTTGCAGTTCACGTTTAACTTCAACATTATACTAAAGTGTAAAGATGATACATTTTCAACGTGGGAGAGCCATGCTTCGGCACGAATGGGCCGGCTCGACCGGAGTGATACCACGGCCTCACAGAAAACCGGTGTTAAGCAATTTTTTCGTTGCCTTTCACTGAGTGAGTGAGGTGAGTGACTCGAGGGGGAGGGACTCCAAGGGCAGCAACGCACTTGTGACTTTTGAGTTGCAGATGTCCATGGGGGGCGGTAGTTGCTTACCATCGGGTGACCCGCCTGCTCGTTTGCCCCCTTATACTATAAAAAAAAACACTCGTAATATTTTACAGTTTTGAGTTTTTAACAACAAGAAGTATGATCAAACCGTCCATAACAAAGGAATGTAAAAGATACGGATAGTAAAAAAGAAAGGGATAGCTATCGACTCAAATTCCTGTGACGAATAGCGACTGTATCGCTAGAAATAACACTTCTTTTATTGTCTGTTCCGCTCGCACCACCAATCTGTGGAACAAATTATTGTCTGAGGTATTTCCGGACCGATATGACCTTCAAACATTCATGAAAAGAGCGTACTGCTTCCTCATAGGCCGGCAATGCGCTTGTGACTGCTGAGTAGCAGGGGTTCTTGGACGGAGGTAGTCATCTTCCATCAGGTGACAGGCAAGCACACGACCCTCTCTTTCTTAAAAAAAAAACCATTAACATGCACAGATATAAATCTCAGTATTTATTTATTGGAAGAACATGATATAAACGACTACTAAGAACTTAATAAGCAAAGGAATTCAAGGAAACCATAAAATAATTTAACACCCTTTTCTGACTGTATTATAAAATATGTCACTCCGATTTTGCTAATTAGATCTGTACCTGGCCTGTCAGTAAGGTAGGTAACCAGTACAATCCTAAGTATATACTTTACTAATAGAGATTTTTTATCACATTACAAATTAATTAGTTCATCATCATCATCAGTCTATCGCAGTAAACTCCTGGACATAGGCCTCTCCTATTGCACACCACTTGGATCAATTGTTTAGTTAATTGTTGTTAATTCACATAATAAACAGAACATAGAGTTTCATATTAAAAACAATCTAAAAACTGGCCGGCTGGGTTGCCAGGTGACAAATATTAACACATTCCATAGAAAACATGAATTTTTTGACCAGAATAGCTACCTATCCGTCCCAGAATCTCGAGAAAATGTATTGAAAAAATCACTTAACGACTTTTAAATCTGTTTGAAATGAAATCCGGGCTTTAAATTTAATTAAGCGGGCCACCCTAGTACTCACACATGCAACTGTAATACACATATGTATATACATTTATGTGAAATCTGTGATTTGGCTAATGCTACCGTTTTTAAAATTCCATTGATATGTTGCATAAGAAATTAAGTGTACGGTTAAATTTACTAAATACCTAAGTAACTATAAATTAATTTCTATTACAAAAAATTAGAAACTGTACTTTTTGACCTATAAACTTTTAAACTGCAATTTCTCTGTACTTGAGATCTACGAGTATATTCTATATCCGTAAAGATAACACATCGCATTAGCAGCCTAATGATACAATCAAAATCGGTCATGACATAACCATCGAAATAATCTTTTTTGACACCCACACACACACACACACATTAATACAACTTAAGGGTTTTGAATATATTAATAAATAAATTAGAAAAACAAGATAATAAAGCCGGTAACCGAACCCCTTCAATTGTGTCATTAAGACAACAGTAAAATAAATAAATACATTTACCAAACTCATTCGTGACACCCCTTAGTAGGGTGACCAGCTCGCGACATACGTTTTCTGACACATTTTGTCATGTACGCCTGTTATAAATGATAGCTCCCCCCTTGTGGGTTTTGTTTGCGGTTAGGACATATCCTACGCTTCCCGAATTGATTTGTTTCGTTTTGTCTACATTTGGGAACGGTTGGTGGTTGATTTTATATAGTCAAGTGTTTAATGTTGTGGTTGATTATAAGGTAATGATTAAGTACTGTTTGGATACGTAAACAGTTGTTTAAGTTTAAAAGGGGCATTCATTGAAATATAACACTGAGTTTTGAATTAATTTTTCAGTCCATGGACACGAAGTATTATCAGTACTCAAAAAGCAGTTTTTTTTTATATAAGAGGTAGGAAAAACAAGTGCAAGATTATTTAAATACCTTTAATTTTAGAGTGATATAAGTTTAAATTCATTTAAGAACATTAAATCAAAAGAAAATTTTGTCATATTTAAAGCTCTAATTAATAATTACATAGGTAACTTATGAATACTTTCATAATCATAAATTAAAACCCTTCACTGTGATATCCCACTCGTTTAACTAAGGAGATAAAATGGAAACACATTTATGAGGCTGAAAATCCATCATACTGTTTTTTTTTATTATTTTGAAATTGCGAGTAAAATTCTTCAAAATCAGTTCATCCATTTATTAGTTATGAGCTAACACATAAACATATAACCTCCTTGCCTTGACTTTGCTACACTTTGAAAAATATACTACCTACTGACATCTATCGCACATTCCCTAAAACTGTGGTACATTTAAATGAACATGTATTTAAGAATGAAGCCTTGTTGTTTTTGAACCTGATAATTATTAAAATATTATTTAAAACCAAGATCCAGACTTTGACTGCTTTAAAGTATTTTCTAAATAAAAATCCCGCAGTTATTATGTAAATCTCATTGTCAAATTATTGGCATTAAAACCAAAAAAAGTCAAAAGCAAAAGCCACTTGTCGAGTATTATCCTCAGCACTTCTTGATTACCAACATTTTGTTATCCATTTCGACGTCTCCTACTTAAGGAAACTCAAACTCCACTCGTTTTAAGAGCCAATCAGAAGCTTGCTCTTTAAAACCATCCTTACGTCATAAGCCATTCCTGACACCCTCTTGTAATATTAATATTTTCCACATTTTTGAGCACAGTAATTGTCCGCCATATTAAATGTAACGATTTGATGCACGTGGTAGGCGAGGGTAGTCCTCGTTAAAGGTGGATCAAAATTTATTAATATTTTGGGGACACCCTATTGTGAGTTTTTTAAAACTCGGAGATAATTGCATGTTTTGCTGTGATATTGATATTAATTAATTTTTTGGATGAGTTGCTTTAATACTTATATCAATTGTTGCAGTATATTATGGCTTCGCTTACGTCGATTTTTTTTTCTATCACAAGGGAACAGTATATATATACCTATATAAATAAATTTCAAGGCTTACTAGCAACCGAAATTACTAGTATTCCCGTTAAACCCGCTAAGGTTAATTGCTTGTTCTAGGAGTGGGTTCACGTCGGTAGTTTACTGGTCAGGATTCGAACCCACGACTTCATGATCGCAAGTCCAAGGCCTTAACCACTAGGCTACCGCCGTTTATTTCTTAAAGTCAACCTGAGAATGGTACAGCCGTTTAAGTATTCATATCAAAACTGCTACTGATAAATATAATATTTCTGAGTTTGAATATGTTCTGAGTTTGTGCCCCTCATGAGATTAACGATTGTGCCGAGTAGGTATATGTACCTGAATATTAATTGTACGATTAAAAAACCTACTGTGACATAACTATTATTCCCTTCTGAAGTAGTTGCACAATAAAATAAAATAAAAATTTAAAAAACCACCGACACACATCTTGGATTTTAAATTTGTCATAGTGCATAGTATTCTACTAGTCAAGCTCTTTCATTTGATACCCTTATTGAGGGAGTTGTAATATATAATCCGCCATTTTGTGGCGTCGGCCATCTTGGACCGATTTTCATCTAACATAGCTACCGACTAATTCACCTTTCAAACAAACAAAATGTAATCAAAATCGGTTCATCCGTTCAGGAGCTACGATGCCAGAGTCAGACATACACAGACACGTCAAACTTATAACACCCCGTCGCTTTTGCGTCAGGGGTTAGAAAATCATTATAGAAAGCATTTAAAAAGTGAATTATTTTTGTCCACAGTGCTGCAGGTGCGATGTGCGACCGAACCGGCTTCGGAACATCCATGAGTCACTTCCCCATGGGCCATATGTCTGCCATGGGAGCTATTGGCACCATGGGCTCCATCTCTGCCATGAACGGGCCCTCACAACAAAAGAAAGTACAGGAGGAACACATAAAGAGACCAATGAACGCCTTCATGGTGTGGTCGAGGCTGCAGAGGCGTAAAATCGCCCAGGATAATCCAAAGATGCATAATTCTGAAATCTCGAAACGATTAGGTAAGTTTTATTATCAATTCTTTCCCTGAAGAATTGTTATTTGCTTTATAATACAGGAAAGCTGAAATTTTAGAAAGGAAATCCCGTTCTTTGGGTTCATTTATTTGTCAATATTTGCCGAAGACTGTAGGTGGTGGAAAGATATTAAATCGACCATGTTCCTTTGTACCTCTTGCATGCGCGACTTAGAATTGATTTGATTGAATTAGTTCAATATGTATTTACTAGATGACGCTAGTGAGATTAAACCGTCGATCGGCTTGTAGTAAAAATAAATGTTGTAAAAATAATCCAGTAGGAATCAAAGTACTATTTGTACACTCCATTTTACCACTAAGTTCAATACCTACCTTACACTTATAGATAAAAAGTGCTAAAATGACTAAAAGAAGTTTCATCATTATGATAAAAATTAAGTGCCTATACAAAATTATACTATTATATACAATAACATACGGACATTTTTGTTCGATTGTCAGTCCCGGATCTAAGATTTTTTCGAACCGGGACAGAAACTTGGTAGTAGCGACCCTCTCTCCAGCGTTTGAGAATTATCTCAAAACTTACTTAAAAACACTCGCAAATATATAAGTTCTCTTGTAGTGTGGACCTGTGTGGCGCTTTTTTCTTACTAGTCGATGGTGAGCCAACCAGGCTTCCGTATGCTAGGCGTTTGTGGAGCAAGATTTTTATTTTTAATCATATTGTACAATGATTTTGGCGCCCCCTAAAACTGCTGCCCGGGGCGGGCGGGTGCCCCCCCTGCCCCCCCTCCCTATATCCGGGGCTATTGATTGTTTGTTTAGATGCGCTGTTCTCTGGCACTACCTGTTGGATTCCAGTAAATGTTATTGTTTTGAGGATGGTCATAGGCTCTATGAACACCTATTATTAGGCTGAGACCCTTAAGAGCTGAGCAGTGAAGATGCGATTGACGATGTACGGGTACAGGTTGTAAATACGAGTGATATAATATACTTCTATTATACTCGTATAACTCGTATTTACTGCCTGTTCCCGTGGTGCTCTGAAAGTCAATGCGACTATTGCACGTTTGTCAAATCAAGACAGGATTTTAAGAAAGAAAGTAACACTGGTTAATCAATTAAACATTAATCTAGTACATTAAGTTCACCAACAGATGTCACTGTTAACAGTAACTGATAATAGGTATTAATACTAGGTAGGTACAAGTTGTAGTACAACAGTATAACTCGGTTCTAACAAGAAATTTGTTAGTATGAGAATTATCGTTTATATCGTAACAGTGTATTTGAGATGCAAATTATTTTGTTAGAAAGGCTTAAGGAAATAATGGTAACAATAATAATAAATTATTGATATAACCATTGTTACAATACATTAGAACCTTGATTCCTGTACAATCTGTGTTACAGGAAACAGTGTCTTCACCCGATTTGTTGTATCAACTATACAATAAGTAGTGTGTGTGTGCGTGCGCGCGTGTGTGTGTGTGTGTGTGCGTGTGTGTGTGTGTGTGCGTGTGTTTGTGTGCGTGTGTCTATATCATTAGGCAGGTATATAGCCTGCTTAAAAAAGTTTCATCACATCATCATCACATCAACAGCCTTTAATAGCCCACTGCTGGACATAAGCCTCTCCTTAGAAAGGAGGTTTTGGCCTACTATACCACGCTGACCAGACGGGTTGGTATAGGGTTTGTTTCAAGTTTTCTTTCTCTCTGCAGTGCTTTTGTTCTGCGTAGTTTTTTCCCTTAGTCGGCTCTTACGACACCCACGGGATGAATAGGGATGGTGACACTCTTTACTGGTGACTATTCTTAATCCGTCACCATAAAGTTTCATATTAAAGTATAAAATAAAGAAAAGAGAAAATTTGACAGCTTTTCAAAATAAGAACATGATCTATGATTAGTCTTTTCAATAACTTTTTAAATCAATAACAAAACTATGATTCCATTTTCAGATTAACGTCAAAATAAACCCTTTTGTTTGTGGAGTATGTCTTGATAATGTACGATGACGTCAGTACTCAGCTCTGGGCCCCATTGTCCCAGAGAATCTATTGAAATTCAGACTAAATTACTATTATGCAAAGTGATAGTACCTGCTTACTCGAAAGGGTTCATTTTGATTGCAAATTGATCATTCTGGGGATTTATTGGAGCAATTTCATTTTAATTTATGAGGAGATATCGTTTATAGGACAAAGTGTCTGTATTCGTCGTGTATTCTAACTAATAATTTATAAGTAGAAATTTATGTTATGTGACAAGAAAAACAAATGATTTAAACTGAAATACTTTAGTCTTTTGGTATTTAGGTAGGTACCTAAATGTCAAATTATAGTAGGTAGGTACCTATATCTATTACATTCAATCTTCTTGTTTTCTTCTTGTTTTAAAAAGACAACTCCCCCATTAGGAGTTTATCCTGTGTCACGGGGAACTTTACAAACACACATGAAACGGACACAAAGAACACCCAGACTCAGAACAACAATTTTTGACCACACAAAGTGTTGTTCCATGTGGGGATCGAACACACAACACTCAGCGAAGTAGGAAACGGCGTGGTGACCGCTTAAACGACTACACCATCCGTGCAGTCAATCCTTTATAATTCTTCCTTCCTTAAATCCTTTATAAATAATTTAAATGTTACTCACATTCTTATTAGGTTCCTTTTTACAAAATTAAATGTATTGGTTTCCTAACTTACAAACATATACTCACGTCTATTTCCTCTAGGTATGGGATAGACAGAGGTGTATCAAATGCCATTTTTTTGCTCGCTATAATTTTGTACTGTAGGTAAAGTAAATATTAACTATGTATAATAAAACCATGAATCTTGTTGATCAATAAGGTATAACGACCAATATTAATATTATCCACTCCACTCCACTCAAAATTGATCTACATTTTTCTTTACTGAATATATTTAGAAAATCCTACCACGCCTCAACTTGTGGCCAGCATTAAAAAATCGCTGAATTAAAAAAAAAACCTTTGCAACATCCTACAGAAGCGACACAGCGGGGGTATTTTCGAGTAAATAACACCTCAAATGTAAGCACAAGTTCGTTCGAAATTTAAAAAAGCCCAGAAATAGGGCTGGGACGAACGGAAGAGTATGGCAATACAAGCAAATCGGCCACGGCTATTCTGCCGGTGACGGCGAGAGGAAACGGATTTTCTATTTTTTTATTTTTTTACCCCCTCCGGGTTAGAGAGAAGCTTTTTACAATGTGGTATGTTTTATAGACACTTATTTGTTCAAATTAAAGGATATCTTTTATTATGTAGGTACACTCTCTTTTAAGCCGTTTAGAAGTGCAGCGTTTTTAGAGTCGCGAAAATTTCATATTATATAAAAATATATGAAAAAATACCTACTGTATGCTCTTAAAACCCATAGCTAAACATATCTTTACACTTTTAAAGCTGTCAATATAAAACAGAAACATTAAATTCTGGTTTCTTTTCTTATTAAAAAAAATCTCCTTTCTTGTATTAACAAAATGTGCTTTATTTTATTTTAAACAAGACGCTTACAACCTCTATATTGGTATGACATACACATCCTTGCACAATAATTCATTCGCTTTAAAATTCATGTGTTTCAAACCGTCAACGCCATCTATTGTCAGTGAAAACAACTAAGGCTGTATTCGTTTTTCTTTTTGCGATTTCCCGGACAGAGGGGTGACAATGCTTCATGTAAAAGTACTCTTTGTCAAGTTCAAACATACATTATTCATGGTGTGTTGTAGTGTTGGATTTTTGTTTGTCAAGGGAGTAATCGTGGAGGGAATTAGATTAAGGAATAATGTACTCTGCTCGTTATTCTGTAGGGAAATAAATCTGAAAGACAATATGGTTTCTTCATTTTAGGTTTTAATTTAAAATTATCATAAGATGACCATGATAATGATTATAATAATTAAATTGCCGGTTTAGTCAACTGTATAAATCTAATGTAATTGCTGCTGAACCCACCTTATACCTACTCTGTTTTAGCTAGTTATCAGAGGTCAATGTTTTTGAGGGAACTAGAAGATTGTAATGGCGATTTCGATCATTGGCAGCAGGAATACCAGGGTATCTTTTAGTCGGTAAGAGTTCGATAGTCTCCTTGTAGAGAAGAGGACACCCTTGAGAATCTTTCATTCAGTGAACAAAAAAATGATTCTCAAACTCAAACTATCTTTATTTCACTTTTTTTTAATTGTTTGATATCGTCTTTTATCTAGACTCTAAAGTCATAGATCAACACACAAATTGCAACAATCTCTGTTTTGTCAAATAGTAAGCAAAATAAATTTCATAAAAATTATACTTATACAAAATCTATGATATGCCTGTGCCGATCTACAACCGCCTGTTTTCAAGGTGTTGAGCCTTATGAGAAAAAAAGGCAAACAAACTCATGGCCACTCTATTGCAATTTACAGATAGATACAATGGCATCATTGAATATACCACAACATTATTTTGGTGTGTGCCAGTATGTCCGTTATTAAGGATTAAAAGGTAAAAAGACAATAAAGAGAAAATAAGATTTAGAAAAAAATAAACAGAAAATTAAATAAAAAATATATAATAAAAAACACACTAGCCCACACCACATTTTTACTTAAGAAATAGCCTGCGCTAAATTAATCCCAAGCATTTTTGTCTTCTATGTATTCCACAATTGAGTAATATGCTTTCTGACGAAATTTATGTTTTGTAAATCTACATGCATACATATGCATATACAATGAGTACATAATCTGAGTGAAAACACACTACCTATCATTTTTTTGCTAATGGCTATGACTATTTATAAAAAAAAACAAATGAAAATGATGCAAATGAGGACTTACCTAATACCAGAGCTAGAGGTATTTTCTTTTATGATGACAGTTTGAAAAACTCTGAATACGACGATTTGTAATCGTAAATAGATTAGATAGACGTTATATGTTCAAATTCTAAGAAAACTATTGTAAATAAGCACAATCAAAAGATTTAT